TGGAGCCCCTACTGGCCGCAGCCGGCCAGCCCGGGCCCTGGGGCGGGGCTTGGGGCGGGGGCGGAGCCAGGCCCGCGGCCGGTGTCAGGTTGCTCCGGTAACGGTGACGTGCCGCGGCGTGGGCGGGGCAAACACGCAGGTTGCATATTTTAGGAAGTGAGGAGGAGGCGCGGGCTTGAGCTGCGGCGGGGTCTGGGGCGCGGAGCAGCGGCGGGAGGAGGCGGACACGTGGCAGCAGCAGCAGCGGTAGCAGCCCCAGCGGCGGCATCGGCTCGAGCCGCCGGCCGGTCTCCCTCCCTCCCGCCCCGCGGCAGCCCTAGCTCCCTCCTCTCCGCTCCCCCGGCCGCGCTAGTTCGGCCGGGAGCTGCTCTCTTCTTTCCTGATTCTTGAGCGACAGGACCCGGCGCCGCGCACAGACCTCCGCCACCATGGGGAAAGGGGTGAGTGTGCGGCGAGCCCGGCGAGGGGGCGCGGGGCGCCGGGCGGGAGGAGGAGGAGGAAGTCAGGAGGGCTTACCGCGGCCAGCGGGAGGCGGCGGAGGAGGAAGCGGCGCGGCGTGGAACGGGCAGGCTGGGCGGCCAGGCTTAAAAGACGACGCACTCTGGAAATGCAGGGAGCGCAGCAGTGGGGGCCGGGAGGGCGGGCGGCAGCGCGGGGCGGGCCGCGGACCTCCGAGTCCCAGCGCGCTGCGGGCCGGGGGCTCCTGGAGGCGGCGCTCGGGAGCCGCGGGGCCGGGAGGAGGAGGGCGGACGCCGCGGGGCGGCCCCGGGAAGGAGCTGGCCGCCGCGGCATCCCCGAAGCCGGCTCCCCTCCCCTCCCTCCGCCCGCCCTCACCTCCCATCTCTTGCCTTCCCTTTTCCTTCCGCCCTCCGTGCCCAGAGGAAAGGCGTGCTCCTCCCCTTCCCCTGGGGCGCGCCGCCGGGGCCCCTCCCGAGCTGCCTTCCCACCGCGGCCGGGGTCCCGGCGCCGGCGGGGGCTTCCGACGCGGGGGCGGCCCTGAGGGGGTGAGGCTCCCACTCTCGCAGGCGCTGGGGCTTAGCCAGTTCCCCGCAGAGGCGGCCGCCCTCCTCTAAAGAGAGAGAGAGAGAGGAAAAAAAAAACAAAAAACAACGGGCTTCCCTTCACTGCGGAGCCGGTCGTGCTGGCTGGTGCCAGAAAGGGTGTGTCTTCACCGCCCTAAGATGGCCTTTAAGGTATACTTTCGAGAGCTTTAATGGGACGCTTTCCCTAAACACTGGATGCGCCCTGGGCGGCTGGAGTGGTCATTTCCCTGGTGGGGAGGGGTGGTTTTTTTTTTTTTTTTTTTTTTGAGGGATGAGCCTGGAAGGAGGACCGGCTGGCTCACCAGGGCCTCTGGGTACAATAAACCCGAAAAAGGACTGCAGGCGGCGGGCAGGACGCGGTGGCAGGAGCACCGAGCCGCGGGAGAGAGCAGTTTCCGAAGGAATGGGGGGCGGGGTGGTCTCCGGGGTAGGGGAGGAGAGTGCACGGAGCGCTGGGAATGCCCGTAGGCACAGCAGAAGACCGAGTCTCAGACCCGAACGGAGCCAAAGCCAAGTCGAGAAAAGTTTATACGGGATAACCTCCCCCCAAAGTATCAATTCATGGGAAAGAATGACCAGGTCGTGAGAACACGGGGTAGGAGAGCAGCCGCTGAGTTATCTCCGGGGCTTGCACGGTGCGGACATCTAGTAGGTCTTTGGAGGTTTTCAGGGCTCCGCAGTGTGGCGTGAGTGCTGGGGGAAGAGGCAGGGAGCGTCCTTTGGGGATTCTTAACTTTGGATTTTGAGGGCGGTAGTTAGAAAGCCTTGGACCTGGTAGGGAGAGTAGGGAGAAGTGGCATGCACGACTGGTATCTTTTAAAAGCACAGAATGTGGAGGGCTCACCCAGGTTCCAGAGCCGAAGGCAAAGAGCTGAGTATACTCCCCACGATATAAAAGTGGGTTAGTGGCCTGGGCTTGTACCACTATCAAACCCTGGGTCATTCCCATAAAGAAGCCCTTTAAGTGCACACCTTTGGTTCTCCTCCCTCAAAAAAGAAGAAAGTTGATACCCTGAGCTGGACATTCCTGCTTTTGGGAGGGGGGGGTGTAGTGATCGGGAATATGTACCCGAGGCCTAGGAAGGTGAAGTGACTTGTTCAAGGTCAAATGGTTGGTTAGTGACACACCAGCCATGCCTGATTCCTGAACAGCCTGTGGTCTCCCCAGCCTGAACACTCACTCACTTGACATTGCCTTACATGCAGAACTCCAGCATTATTCTTCAGATGAAAGTGGGGTATTTGTGATTTAAAAAATCACATTAAAAATTAATGGATCCCAGAGATGTTTGAGTAACTTGAGTTCTATCCACGTATCTGTATGTGTCTTTCATAACTGAACCCATGCACAACAGTGGTGAAGATCACACACCTGGGTTGTGAAGGTTCAACCAGGATGTCTTAGGGTTCTTAATAAAAAGCCAGTGGCTGGCAAACACAAAATGAATTGCAGCTGGTTCACAGGATGATAGGCTGCTTATCTGCTGGGTGGTAGTTAGCGTTTTGGGGGGGGGGGACACTGGTAAATTGAACATTAAGGGGGGAGATGTGTGTTGGTGGTGATTCTCCTGGAGTAAAGTTACCCCTTTTGTCCCCAGTGACTTACTGTGATAGTCCAACGTTCAGAAGGATATTTTATGCTGAAATGTTGGGATTTTTCCACATGGGGATTAAAATGTGGGTGGAGTGGTGACTAAAGCCCTGCTGATAATTGGTTAACCAGGAAGCCTGTGCTCGCAGCTAATTTTTAAGGTCATTGTTAATTTCTTCCCTGCTTCTTCCCACTGCTTGGGGGCCTAGGTTTTGATGATATTTCAGGTGATTTTCTTTGTCCTTAAAAATCTAGTTTCCTAAGCTTTTGGTAAGAAAACGAAAGAACAGCTCCTGCTGAATCATTCCTGGATGAAATAGGATTTTGTCCCTTTTTTTCATATTGGGTGTTGTTGCCAGTGACTTGGCTTACAGCCACAGCCAGGCCGGCCACCCACAACTAGCTCACCCAAGGTACACAAAAAAGCTTGCTCTTTTTCTCAAGTTTACAGGAGCTGGGGGGAGGGGGGAAATGTCACCAGGTCCTTCCGTGCGCTTCCCCATTGTTTGAATATTAACTTAAGTTACCTAGAAAATAAATCCTGGCTTACGGGTGGTGATTTCAAGAGGAGCAGGGGAAGAAGATTCAGGTGAAGGTTGCACAAGGGATACACATGTCAGCAGAAATCCTGGTCGTTCGGTAACATTATCAGCTGCCCTTTTGGAGCTCAACTTGAGAGTGTGACTAAATCTCCTCTGGCTGCTATAAAACTAGTACTTTAGACTGAAAACATCGGAAGGCAGAGTCCTCAGAGTGGAAAGTTGCCAGGGCCTGGCCAGGAGCGAGTGAAGCTGTTACAGGAGGAACTGTTGACCTGCACTGGGGCCAGACCAGAGGGCCGGGATTGCATCACACCCTTTTTGTCTCTGAAGTGTTCAGTGTGTGAGTGTGACAGTTCCCCGGCCCAGGGTTCTTTCTGTACCCTCTTCTGAGGGTGTATCCTCTTTTGGTAACTTACTGTTTGTTAATTTGTAGTGTTCTCCGCCAGTAAGTTTGTAACACTCTAGTGACTCACCTTTGGGTGGGAGGGTAGGGAAGGCGGGGGAGGTCTGCATCATAAATCTGAGAAGGCTGAGAGGAGGCTAACCCTTGCAACCCTCCCTCCCCCACCCCCCCCAGGGGGATTTTTTAAAAATTTGGTAAATGTTCATCCAGGTGAGCGCTAAAACCGAAAACATACAGCTCTCTGGAAGTGTTACCCCTAAGTTGCATTTAAAAATAAAAGGTGAACTCAGAATTATAAAGCACGATAGACTTGGTACCCAAACATGCTCCATCCCATCCTTGTTTCCTGATTATTTTAGCAACAAGTTAACAGTTAAGTGACTTTCTGTTCAAATCAGGCTGTGTTGTCTTAAAGATATCCAAACTTAAGAATGAGAAAAAGGCTTTAACTATTTGAAGGATTTTGTATGCAACAGTAAGTAAAATTAGTTTGTTCATTTAAAAACAAAAAGGTAAAAAAAAAAAAAAAAAATTGTTTCAAGCCCTGAAGCTTCAGGTTCTCAACTGGCCCTTAGGTAGACTACTGGCCCCGAGGACCAAATGAAGTCCTCTCTGTTCTGTCCAAAGTGAGTGCAGTGCAAGCAAACACCACAGCTGTGGTCAGGCTGACCAAGGATTTGGCGCTGAGGAAAGATCCGATCTTTATCAACTATAGGTTTCCTGTTCATCAGTTAGTCCTAAGCCCTTCAAAACCAGAGAAGAATTTTTCTTTCACCTGAGAAGCATATTAAGGATTGAAAATAATAGGAACTACTGTTAATTACCCTCCAAAGGAAAGCCAAGTGGAAGTATCCCCCTTGACATTGCTGACCTCCTAATTTAATGGCATCTTAGAGTTTTCGTCTGCTTTCACTTTTCAAGCAAGGGACTTGACTTTTAAGTCTTTGTACAAGTCTTATCAAAAAAAAAAAAAAGGAGGTGGGGGGGTTGCTTTTCAGCGCTGTGTGATGGGAGGGAGTGTGAACATTCGTGCCGCCGTGTCTTCTAGCTGCCCAGGGCTCTCTGCCAGCCAGCAGGCCAGAAGAAGAAACGCGAGTGTCAGATCAGATGGGCTCACAGTAATCAGAGTGGCTGCGTTTGGACAGCATGACACTGGGCAGAATGTCTCCCCATGCCTGCCAGAGCTGTCCAGTTCTGGGTTGCTCTGAAAATACATGGCCAGTGAGCAATAATGGGAAGTAAAGAGAATTCGAAAGCCCACTGGCTTTTTTCTTTTCTTTTCTTTTCTTTTACCTTCTCCTTCGTATCTATATTTTTGGAAAAGGAAACGTAACCAAGTCAGGTTTGAACTTTCTCACATTGCTATGAATTGAGTGTATGAGAGGAAGTGTATTCTTTGGCTGGAATCTCAGAGAGACCGTTCTTTGCATATGACTCACCTCATTAGTTGTGCTGAAATCTGTTGTCAGGAATCCACAAGAAGTTCTTCACATTTATTTGACTGATGTTTGGTTAGCAAATTCTATTGGTGAGAATAGAGCCCCCATCCACCCACCTACCCACCCACCCACCCTGCAGTTTTTCTCTCGGGTTTCATTTGCATTTGGAGCCTTGGGAATTGGGATCGGTACACCTCATTCCTTATTTCCTTTGTGACTCTACAATGAATCGTATCTGAACAGTAATTATCTCTGTATCTGGTTTTATCCAAACTCTACTTAGTAACAACTGTTAGGTATTTTCTGGTAGTGATCCAAAGAGGTGATTCTTGGTGGCTCGTGCTTTGTCTTTGGGGCTTGTACTGTTTGGGGGCCCGATAGTGAAGAGTGTCAGGTGTGGAGACCAGTGGGTCTTGGTGTCAGATTTATCTTTCCAGGCTGTCATCATGGCCAGGGCCCCCGGGCACTTTGGGCGCTATCCTTTTGTGTTTTTCTTTTATCTTCCACATGATGTTTCCATGGGGCCATATTTGTTTTATTGTTTCAGTTCAAGTGACCTGTGTCTGGGGCCTTGGGCTGCCTTTGTCCTCTTCAGCCTGCCAGCTGGTTTACTTCGTATCCTATGCCTCGGGGTACCAACTGAGGAGCCATGAGAACTGGGAATTTATTCAGTCCCCTTGCAACACTGGTGCCAGTTAGGAATCCTTCGTCTCTCAGACTGACGACATCTTTTGAGTAGCACTAGCCAAAGAGTGGTCTGGTAAAACGAGAAAAGGGGTGAGGGGGGCAACGGATGGAAGGAGCAGGCAGAAAGTTTTAACTCTTCATAACCCGGGTGCCTAATGATAGAGGTAGCGTTAACCCCAGTGAAAAAACAGGCTTGGGTTTTGTTTTGAATCACTGGAAAAACAAAGAATGTTTTCAAAAGAGGTAGTAAATCTAAAGTATATTGATTGTGTAGACATTCTAGAATTTTTTGTGTACCCTGCAGGTAGGGCGGGCTGGCAGGCTCCTTAAGAATTTCCTCACCAGCAGATTGAGTGGAAGGTTAAGCCTAGTTTGTTTGGGGCTGAGGGAGCCTGCTGGCTAGAGCTGGAGCTGGTCTTTCTGCGCCGCCTCCCCCCGCCTGCTGGCTGGGTGGGCTACAGCCCAAGTATGGAGGTGGTGAGCTGGCCTCACAAAGGGGCCCATCGCTCTGGCTTTGCTACATGACCTTCTCCAGCCTGCTGCACGTTCAGGTGAGTGACAAGGAATATGACGACAGGTGGTCCCGTGGGTCACCTCCTCTGCAGAAGAAAGCGATTCGTTCCTTAACTGCCCTAAATGCTGCTCCAGGCCGCAGAGCGCTGCGGTATTAAGACAGCGCGTGTCCTCCCTCAACCTCAGCTGTCTCGGGGCCCTCAGATCCCTGGCTAGAAAATTCCTCGCACGTAAACTAAACCACTTAGTCATTTAGGCGCAACTGGAGGCTGTAATGAACTGGGCTTGATCATTTCTGATATTTTCTGTTAAGTTTTACCTGATGAGATGAATACCCCAAATGGGTTGTTTTTTTAAGGTTGAAAGGGGTTTTCATAGTAAGTGAGGAATGGCAGTAATTTATATGTTAATTAAAACCCAGTTAGTAATAACCGTGGCGCAGTGCTTTGCAGAGTACCTTTACATACACAGTTGTGTTTGAGAATGATTTAATAATACACGATCCCAGGAAGATGGGAAAAGCCCCTCTCCCCCCTTTTTCCCCCCATTTGAAGGAAGGTATAGCCTCCTTCTGGCCCCTCTTGCTAGTCCCAAACCTTTTGCTTGTGTGTGGGTTTTAAGAACGGCGCGGGGTTTTAGGTGTTTTGTTTTCAGACTTGACGGCAGCCCCTTGATGAATCAGACAATCAGAATGCGTTCTAGACTCTTTCAGTCGTCACACCAAATGCTTTTGCCATCGTAGGGACAGGCAGCCGAGGCTGACTGTTCAGGGTCCCGCAGCCAGCCAGGATGGCTGGGGGCTTACCTGAAGCACATCAGCATTCCCGTCCGAAGGGCATGGACATCGGAGCTTCCCAGTACCCCAGAGGCTTCTCCAGCAATTCTAGAAGTCTGAACCGTGCCGAGCTCCCCGCTGCCTCTAGGGCCATCTGTTACTGTGGTGGGAATGGGTCCCCCCTTTAGGTGGTTAATTACTGACAGAGAGGAAGGGGCACGGTCCGGGGGTTGGTCCATGTTTTTAAATGAGTGAACCTCATTACTTGTGTTAACCTTGGTTTCTCCTGTCAAGAGTTTTCTCTCCCCATCTCTCTGGGCACCTTTCCCTCTGCCCAGATCCAACGGTGGCAAAACTCCTTAGGGCGTCTTTGAGAGGATGGAATCCCTGGGAAGCACAGGATGAAGTAATGACCCATTTGCAGCTGTGTCACACTGGGCAAGCCCCTGCCCTCCTTGTGACCTCCCACTTCCTAAATTAGCAATGGAAAAAAAAAAAACACAAACCAGAACCGAACTTACTTCATCATTTTCACCAGCCAGTGTCCCATTAGTGAAGGACCTCACGGGAACCTTGAGCTCAGAGACCTCGGGTGTCCGAGGGGTGCCACTGCAGGGAGCGTGGTGAGTGTGGGAGAAGTGATCCAAGTTTTCTATTGAAGAAGTAGGAATGTGTGCCCAGTGCTCAGAGGAATGGGAAGGTTCCTGTAGTCAATTGGGGAAACCACGTTTCTCTTGTTTTTCCAAATGTTTTTAAAAAAAATAACAAAGAAAATGCTGTCCCACCCATCTTAAAACGGATGATCTGTAGTGCTATTACTACATTATCTTGTATTGTAGCTCTCCCTTACTCACTTCTAAGGGAACCATGTTTCTCTTGTTTTTCCCAAATGTGTGCCCAGTGCCTATCCCTCCCTACACTCCCTCAACCCCGAACACACACACACACACACACACACAATTTTTTTCTGCTTCGAATTTTTGATGATCGAGACCTATAGGGACTTAAGGAATATTTAGTTCCTGTCACAGTAAGCGAATATTAAATCACAGTTTTACTTGTAGGGAAGAACTGAATTGTAAAAGCCATCTGGTCTTCTGGACAAACATTGCCTATTGAAAAAATTAAAATCTTGAAGGAGAAGAAATTCCACATGTTAATACTTCCCATGTCTCTTTCACAAATGTCCTCATGTAAAACTATGCCTTACGTAGCATGAATTGATGAGGAAAGGAGGTGGGGGCTATTAGGAAATCAAACTCCCAGCCAACTTAACCACTGATAACTGTGAGGCTGGAGGCAAGATACTTTTCTGTAAATGGGGATACAACTTTGGAACCTGTCCAGGGCCTAGCTCTCTTACCATTCTCTCCCCCTTTTTTGGAGTGGAAAATACCGAAAGTCTGAGAATAAAGCATATAGGTGGTGAGGCAGAGAGATTTTTAAATCTGATTTTCATATCTTTAAATTAAACTTGCATTAATGATACCTTGCTTAAAAGAGAAATTGTGAACTGTATTTTAAAAAAATCAATACAAACTGACCACATAGTCTTCTAGAGATTCCCTAGTCAGTGCCTTTAAAATGATTTTTAAGTGATGTGCTTTCCCATTAAAGATGTGAAAGAAATCCCACTTCAGACTGTGGTTCTTGTCTGGTGGAAGCCCTGTCCTTCCTTTTTGTTTTATTTGTGTGTTTGCTTTCAGTGTGTGATTATTTTCCATTTTAACACTAGCACCAAGGGCTCTATGCAGAGAGGCACTTAGAAATGTGGTTGCTCCACAGTGGAGAGAATTTCAAGAATGTCGACTATCTTTAGACCTGCTTCATTCTTAACAGATAAGATAGAAACAAAAGAACTCCACTCTGTTGGGAGAAGTTAGTCAAGGAACACTGCAGAAGTAACCACAGGAGTTGAACAACATGAATAATATAAATGTCTCTGCTTGTGGGCAACACCAGCTCATTTGGGGCAGGATTTCTCTTTAGAGTCTTAAGAGGGTGTTTTCAAATTCAACTGAATATTGTATTTATTTGCAACCATCTTAGCTGTGACTGAAATACACCCATCTCCTTTGATTTTTTTTTTTTTTAATTTGATTTTTAGCACAGTAAAATTTTGATCTGGACACAGGTTCTCAACTTCTTTAATAACCTGGCGGTGTACTTCTGAAAGTTAGAAGTGAGTAAGGGAGAGCTACAATACAAGATAATGTAGTAATAGCACTACAGATCATCCGTTTTAAGAAAAATGCTACTCTCCTTCCCCTGCCCCTCTCAGGTGGTAGTGGTTGTGGGAGGCAGTTTGTGGGGTGGTGGGGGTGTCTGGAGTGGAGGCCTCTTCTGCCGCCGACCAAGCTCTGGAGCACCAAGTTCAGGCTTTGTGTAGATAAGCGCAAGCATTTTCAACGGGGGGGGAGGGGCATGCGGAACAATCTAAATTTAAACTATAGAATCAACATTTTCTCTAAAAATTGTTCCAGTTTTCAAGAGGTGTAGGTGGATCCTGTGAATTGTGTGATAATGCACATGCTTTTCCTACACTCTGCTTATGTCAAAACATTTCCAGTGACTTTTCCTTTGGGGGGTTTATTTTCAGGCTGTAGACTGGGGAGAGGACTTTTTTTTTGTCTTTTATTTAAATGATTTTAAGTATTCTTAGGCTAGCTGTTTTTATATAAGAAAAGATGAAACAGGTCACTGTTCTTATGTAAGCCCTAAAAATACTTAAATTTGATCCTTAATGGCTTCTTTGCAAAGCTAAGAATTTAAACATAATAATAGAAGTAATTTGCACCTAAGGGTTTTGTGTAATTGGTTCTCCCAGAAAACGCTACATGGACGTAGGCACAACTATTCTCTCCACGCCAGCGAAGAAGAAGTTGAAGCTTTAAGAGTCCGTGACTTACCCAAGGACACATAGCTGACAAGTGGTAGAGTGCAGGGGTCTAACTCAGACTTGTCTGGTTCAAAATGCAAAGGCATCCGCGCTCTGCTCTCAGTTACTGATGTAAAGATGATTTCATTCTCTCCGTGGGGAAGATGGAAGGTGGCGGTATAGAGATTTTGACAGCACAACCCTTTCCCTATTCACCCCAAATGGAAGTGACTAGCGGGACCCTTCGGTGGTTGCCGTGACTTCTCCCCTGGTCTCAATGCCTTCGGGTGCACATGGCGTGTCTTGGGCTCATGATAGTTGCAATAGTCGTTGCTTTTGTTTAGTTTGTGGTGTATGCACATGCATTCCCATGCATTTCCACGATTGCTGTCCTGTTGACTATTCGAAATGTTGCCTGTCCTAAAAACTGCTAACATCCCCTGCTCCAGAATCTCCTGTGTGTTCATAATACACAGCCTCACCTCTCCCACATTCTCCTGTAGGTTGGACGTGATAAATATGAACCTGCAGCCGTTTCAGAGCATGGCGACAAAAAGAAGGCCAAGAAAGAGCGGGATATGGATGAACTGAAGAAAGAAGTTTCTATGGTAGGTATTAGGAGGCAGGTTGCTTTCTGTTCTCCTTATAAGTTAATTGTATCCTATCTGTTGGGTGTTGGATTCTCCCCTCCCCACCCCCAGTCCTTCAGTCAGAGACCTGCTTTATTTTAAAAGTAAAACAGTCATTGTGGTTGTTTTTACAGACCTTACCAAACCCTAGAGATCAGTCTGGAAAATTTTCATTTTCCAGGCTGTTGGCAGGTTGGGAAAGTTATCCCCTGCCCCACCGCCCGGCATAATAACCAAAGGTCCATAGAAGGAACTGTGGTTGATATCAGAGGCCTTCACTTTTCTCTGCTTCTGGATTATACCAAATACAAGGGGAGCCTCGAGCCCCTCCAGCTGTGGAGGCTTCCACAGACACGGCCTACCTAGAACCTGCTGGTCATCAGAGAAGGCAAACAAGGTTTCGCTCGAGCTCTGAGCCTGCTGGGCTTTCCTGAAGTCCCGAGGCAGGCGGCAAGGGGCCTCATCCCACAGCTTTCACCAACCTCCGGGGAGGGACTCTCAGCACAGGGCTGGGTGGTTGCCGAGCCAGCTACCGCCTTCTGCACGGAAGGAAAGCCCGTTTGCTGAGCCTAGTTAGTACTAGCGACGAGGGACATTACTGCTTTCTCCTCATCTTGTTTCATGGTACAGCGTTTAATTCTTCTGTTTGTTTCCCCTTAGGATGACCATAAACTTAGCCTTGACGAACTTCATCGCAAATATGGAACAGACTTGAGTCGAGTATGTTGTCCTTTCACACCTGTACAGAATCCAGATCCTGTTTCCCTAGGGCATCTCCCCCGTGGCGCAGACCTCAGAGGAAGAGAACGATGACAGGCACCGTCTGAGTATACGGTGCCGCATGTGAACCTTGGGCTTTTGGGTGCTTCCTTAGTATTTTGTTGGCCCCTGACACTTTGAAAGTAGACGTTATTTTCCCCATTTTATAATAGGTGAGATCCAATAAGGGAAGCACGAGGATTTAAAATGGAATGGCTCCATAGCCATGCTCATTCCCTGACCTTTCGATTATAAATCTTTGTCTTTTATTCTTCTACGTTCATGAAATGGAGTTGAATATTTCAGTGAGTTGAATCTTCAACACTTCAGTTTTTGCACTTTTGCCATCCAGCTCCATTGCTCCAGAACCTTGATTAGTCTAGCATTTATTTGACACTTGTTTTTTTACACCACTTGAAGAAATCTTTCCGTAAAGCATGTGTTGTGTATTCTTGTTACCTGGAGGATTTGGGTATTAAATTTGCGACACGAACAATACAAAAGTAAACCGTCGGGTGAGGGTGCAGTTTGTTACTTCTGTGCAAAAAGTAAAAACTCTGGGGACTGACGTGAGTGCCAGCCAACATGTAGCCATTATTTCAATAAATGCTCAAGAAGTGGTAAGCAGCGTTGCTGGTATGGATGCCCTGGGCTCCGAGGGGAGGCCTGAGTCAGACGGAGCTACCACTCCCCGTTGGGCGGCCTGAGCACATGCTCTCCCTTGTAGTAATACCTAGAAGAGGGTTGTCTTGAGAATGCACGTAGCTCCTGTGAAGCACCGGACTCTCCCTGGCGAGCAGAGAGTGCTCAGATGGTGGGTGTCAGGTACTCTGCCCTGGGGTTACATCAGGAACTTGAGGGGGGTCCAAACCGGGTCCTCATTTCCCCTTCACTGCCTGGCTTTCTTCTCCCTGTTCCTCATACTCCCTAGGTAACTCAAATATTTAAAATAACGTGAATACGAACTACACATTAACGGATACTTTAGGCAAAAATTGGTTTTGTCTCTCCCCCCGGCGCCCCCTCGGGTATTTTGATAATATGAAAGTAATCACATTTTCCCCTTGTGATGGGAGCCTTGTATCTACTGTGTGCCATCCATGTATCTTGGTTTTAAGGCCCATTTAGAGAAGCGCCAGGCTTTAGTACAGTGGATTTTTTTCCCTAATTCTTTGAAGTTGGCAGGTTCCTGGGGGTGGGCTGGAATGTGCACCTGTGGGAACCCTCCCAGCCAGACTGTCCTTTGAGTTACCATCCACAGGATAGACTTGTATCCTGAAAACTTGGCTATTAAACCATTCACAGGTTGGATTCCTGCAGAGAAGTTTTGCTTCCTTTTTTGATGTTTATAGAGGGTTTCTTTCTTCTCCTCCCTGACAGATTCAATATGCAAAAGAACTCAAAGCTCTTAATTTGCAAAACTGAATCGATGAGTTAACATTGCTGTCTTTTTGGTAAAAATGCAATGTGGCCTGAGTCCCTTACCTAAACTTATACTGGATTCAGATCTGTCCATGGATCGATTTAAAACGAATTTCAGTCTGGTATGGGCTCCTCAGAAAGTTTGGGCAGCTATGTACCCGGACCAGGAGAGGGTCCTCATCAGAACGTGCCAGGTTTTATAGGCTCGCTAGCTTGGGGCATTTTGTTTCCGCCTAAACCCGTTAATGGGGCCTTCCAGCTATCAGGTGGGTATATTCGCTTGTATGTTCTGGGGGCAGTATGTCTTACTTACATTCCTCTGCTTCTCAGGGCTTAACAACTGCTCGAGCTGCTGAGATCCTGGCTCGAGACGGCCCCAATGCTCTCACCCCGCCTCCCACCACTCCCGAATGGGTCAAGTTCTGTCGGCAGCTGTTTGGGGGTTTCTCGATGTTACTGTGGATTGGAGCGATTCTTTGTTTCTTAGCTTACGGCATCCAGGCTGCCACGGAAGAGGAACCTCAAAATGATAACGTGAGTTCTGTAGCTCCTAATTTAGATTACTAAGTATGTGTAAGGTATGCCGCTGGTCTTTGCCACCCACTTGTTTTCCACTGGTTACCACTGGTTAGCTGATGGTTTTATTTATTTTTTTTAAGATTTATTCATGAGAGAGAGAGAGGCAGAAGGAGAAGCAGTCTCCCCAAGGAGCAGGGAGCCCAATGTGGGGCTCAATCCCAGGACCCCAGGATCATGACCTGAACCAAAGCCAGACGCTTAACCAAATGAGCCACCCAGGAGCCCTAGCTGATGGTTTTAAACAGGAGGGAAAGGGGCACCTGGGTGGCTCAGTTGGTTGAGCGTCCGGCTCTTGATTTCCGCTCGGGTCATGATCTCAAGGTCTTGAGATCGAGCCCTGCCTTGGGCTCCATGCTCAACCAGGAGTCTGCTTGGGATTCTCTCTCTCCCTCTCTCAAATAAGTCTTTTAAAAGTAAACACGAGGGAAAGCAGTGTTAGCAACTGTTGCCTTCAAGGCCCCATCCATCTTCCTTCTTCGTTTTGGGTTTCTCTCTCCATCTCCCACCTTCTAGATGCTCTTCCAAGCTGGATGTCCACCCAGCATGTCGCAGTGAACAGGCAGCTCTGCAGGTCCTGGCCCGGGGCCGGCCGCCACCCAGACGGCAGAGCACAGCTTCTCATGTTGGCCCATAAGGCACATCCAGAAATGTCTGGTAGCCACTCTTCAGAAGTCACAAGTTGTTTTGAAAATATCTTTGTTTTAATAAAGTGGGAGAAACTGATTGATGTGGAACACTTCCAAAAGTCTATCAAGGTGTAGTGACCAAGTGTCTCTGGGACCCCATTTGTGACCCTCCTGTACACAGTCTCTCGGAAGATAAATACGAAGACGCGAGTTCTGTATTTATTTCTGAAGCCCTGACCTGTTAAAACTTTGGTTTTTGTTCAGTCAAAAATTAACTGAATGTTCCCAACTCCTTACTGCGAGCCTGCGGCTCTAACTTGTTTGTTCCTTCCAGCTGTATCTTGGGGTGGTCCTGTCAGCTGTCGTCATCATAACTGGTTGTTTCTCCTACTATCAAGAAGCTAAAAGTTCCAAGATCATGGAATCCTTCAAAAACATGGTTCCCCAGGTACCTGTTGCTTTGCCTTTCTCCATTGAGAGCCCCGGGGATGTGAGCTAGTGTGAAGCTAAGGTTTCCGAGTGGATGGGAACAAGAGGGCCACCTCGCAGTAACTCCCAACAAGCTTTTGTTAACTTGTGTAAATAGATTAATAATCTCCTTGTCATGCCCTCGGGTAATTCACATTAGAGATCCCTTTGGAATTTGGTCTTGTTTGAACACTACCCGGTCCTTGTTGGCAGCTGCTTTTCTCTGATTGAATGGTGTATAAACTGTTTTCTGCTCCTCAAGCAAGCCCTTGTGATTCGAAATGGTGAAAAAATGAGCATCAATGCAGAGGAAGTTGTGGTCGGGGATCTGGTGGAAGTGAAAGGAGGAGACCGAATCCCTGCTGACCTCAGGATCATCTCTGCCAATGGCTGCAAGGTGGGTTCAGCGGGCCCCCCCACCCCCACTGCCGGGGCTCAGGTGGAGAGCGCAGGGCGGCCCGGTGTGCGCTCACACAGCCCTTTTGCTTGTCTCATGGACAGGTGGACAACTCCTCACTCACTGGTGAATCAGAGCCCCAGACTAGGTCTCCAGACTTCACAAATGAAAACCCCCTGGAAACGAGGAACATTGCCTTCTTTTCAACCAACTGTGTGGAAGGTAGACCATTTTAACATGCTGTTTATCTTGGGCATTAACAACAAAACCAGAGACTTACCATTTCTGTCCTGGTTTTATTGGCTCCTTATCTGCCTACTGTAGTCAAGCACAGCAGCTGCCGTTCACTCGCTGGCAGGAAGGCTCTGGAAGCCTGGGGGCGGGCTGTCGGTCTGTCCTCTCCTCCCACCTCCAGCACACCTCTTCTGTTGGCCGTGCCCACCTGGCCATGGCCTCTGGAGCTGCTGTCCTGCTCCTGGATAGAAAGCCCTTCACCAGAGTCTCCGTGGTGTAAAACCGTGTTTACCCCACCAAAGAGCTGGCCCTTGAAAACGTGTAGTTTGGTCTCTTTTTGAGCCATGCCAGGTAACTGCAAAATCTGTGACTTCTCTGATGAGACGTGGTACGACCCCCCCCCCCCTTAAGGTACTGCTCGTGGCATTGTCGTGTACACCGGGGACCGAACGGTGATGGGAAGAATCGCCACACTTGCTTCTGGGCTGGAAGGAGGCCAGACTCCCATCGCTGCCGAAATTGAGCATTTTATCCATATCATCACGGGTGTGGCCGTGTTCCTGGGTGTGTCCTTCTTCATCCTGTCTCTGATCCTGGAGTACACCTGGCTCGAGGCCGTCATCTTTCTTATCGGCATCATTGTTGCCAACGTGCCGGAAGGCCTGCTGGCCACTGTCACGGTTAGTGACTGGGGGACGACAGTGCTCGCTCTTAGATCAGCCTGCACGTGTGATTCCGCCCCCCC